GGGGGGGGGGGGATCGGGTTGCATGCCGCAACGGAATTGAAAATAAATATATTGGGGGATCGGGTTGCATACCGCAACAGATTTATTTAAAGTTTATATTGGGGGATCGGGTTGCACGCTGCAACAGAATTGATTGAAATGAATATATTGGAGGAGCGGGTTGCACGCCGTAACAGATTTATTTAAAGTTTATATTGTTGGAACGGGTTGCACGCCCCAATGGAAACAAGTTAAGGGATTGTGACTGCTGAATTGACTTCAATTATTGAGATTATTTACCGGCTTTACTACTATTCCCGTTATTATTATTATTATTGTGTATAGGTTAATGTAAACGAATTGCCTTAGCCTCGCCACTACTTCGTCGAGGTTAGGCTCGGCACTTACCAGTACATGGGGTCGGTTGTACTGATACTACACTCTGCACTTCTTGTACAGATTTCGGAGTTGGTACCAGCGGCATACTATAGATTTTCCCGGATACAACTACTAATGGAGACTTGAGGTATAATTGCACAGCGTTCGCAGTTCTGAAGTCCCCTTCTATCTTATCTCAGCTGTGTATTATATTTCAAACAGCTTGAATTTTATTCAGACCTTTATTTGTATTATTCTAGAAGCTCGTGCACTTGTGACTCTAGTTCTGGGATGGTATTTAGATATCGCGATTATAATGGAATATTCACTTTATTTCAGACTTTATTTTCGCATTTGTTTTCTTGTTATTAATTAATTTAAAATTTTGTTAAAAATGGCTAATTATATTCTAACGTTGGTTTGCCTAGCAAGTGAAATGTTAGGCGTCATCATGGTCCCGAAGGTGGGAATTTCTGGTCGTGACATCTCTTGACACTACTAAGTTGTAATATTATAGTGGTTATATTGCTCCGCTCGTGTATTGTATTTTACCTCATTAAACGAGTTGGTGTCGTTGTTACCCTCTTGTGCTATTATTATTTGTCGTGAATATTATTCTTGGACGGGATTATTATTTTTCTCAACAGTAACTGCCTAGCTAGTCTTAAAATTAGATACAGTCAAACCTCTCTATAACAGCCTCGTTTGTTCTAATATTTTTTGGTTGCTATAGTGAAGTGGTTTTATAGAGGATATATATCATAACATAACATAAAATCGATCCGAAAATAAAACGTGACTTTTATAGATGTTGTTATAGAAAAGTTTGACGGTACGGCAAAGTGATTTTTTTATTAGTTGAATCCTTCGATAGGATGTATAGTTGTTGTCCTCTTAGATCCGTGTCCCCCTCCATGTAAGCTGTTTTTTTGTCGCAACAGACATGGTATGGGTCACGCCAAAAACCCCCTAACATCATAGGAGGTAAAATCCAGGTTGGTTGGCTTAATTAGAAGGAAAACAAAAAATATCATAGCTAAAAAAGGAGACGGTATATAAATTTTGAAGAATAAAGGACAATGAGATTTGAAAAACTCACTGAACATCTGAAGGAGGTTCCTTACTAGGCCGAGATGCTAGTGGCCAGAAAAGGTCTTCAAATTCAAGGAAGGATAAACCTGGTCCAAGCTCACCTTCTTCTATGGTATAGACACTCGTGTTTAAGCCATCTAATCCTTTATTGTTGTATATATGTATGAGTTTTATCTCTGCCGTCATCTATGTATATACCTCTGTCTGCATAGTAAATGCAATTTCCTGCGCAGTGATGACCAAAATCTTGTGAAGAAACTGAGAAGCAATAGTCATAACTAATAAAGAAAATTCCATCACCCAACGAATGCACTGCAATCCACTTATGTAGTTCTTGATCCAGCTGGTATATTCTAAATTCAACATTCTCCGTCTTATTATAATCTAAAACCATATCAACCAAAAATAACTGCCCGTTTGATTCCACGGGCTGTATGCCTGTATCCCTGTCGTGTAATATGGGAGATACTATGGTCTCATTGAATGAGGAAGAATCAAACTCTATAGTCTTGCCACATCGATCAACAGCAACAAAATTCCTCTTATACACAATGATATCGACTATTCTGAAACTTCCATCTTTTAATATAGTCCAATTCCCATCCCACGACTTCGAATAAAGTAACACAGTAGGATCATATTTAAAAGCTTCAACAAACGCCAGTAGAGAAATATTACTGGTCTAGTTTTTCGTGCTGCACACGATAAGATTTACAAACTTGAGAAACGCGCAAGTCTAGTAAATGTTATTCCCGGTCAATATTGCTGTATTTGTAAATATTAATTCTGCAAAATATAAGTTAACGTAATGAAACAATAATAATAAATTCGAGCCCACTGAATTCACAGTGTTTCCTTAAGGAATTTAATCCCCTCCTAGTACCCAAGGTAATGGATTATTTCCTCCCAGGATAGAACGAATAACACACTGGTGTAGCGGTACTTCAAACCCCAGTGTTTCGGCGAACACAAAGTTCGGTAGCAAATCACACTTACAGTTGCTTTGTTTGAAGTTAAAAAACAATGCAGAACGAAGGAGTATATACTCAGAAAAACGTATGGAAGTTCTGAGAGGAAGGAGTGCAATGTATAGCCAATTTGTTGAGCGAATTGTATGTTGAGTTGAGTATCTTTCTTCAACATTTGCTGCTCATATATATAGCAGCCAAGAAGGAGTGCAAGACCAAACGTCCACCCTTCATGGTGGATCAAGCATTACATATTTGTGGAGCAAGCACTTCATATTTGTGGAGCAAGCACTTCATGGTGGGAAGACCATTATCCGGCTGCCAAATTATCAATACACGGATTGGAAAATATCCGTTACAAATACGGATAATCTTACGTTAATATTTACTATTAACAAATAAATTTGGTCCAAAAAATTAATCAATCAATCGATCATTTGACCAAATCCAAATCCAAATCCGAATCCGAATCCGAAGCCGAAGCCGAAGCCGAAGCCGTAGCCGTAGCCGTAGCCGAAGCCGAAGCCGAGCCGAGCGAGCGACGACGACGACGGCGCGAGGCTTGCTTTCTTCTTAACTCTTTAAGAGCTACAAGAAGAGCAATTATATATATACCCACCAAAAATGTCTTCCACTTCCAATATGGGACAATGTCTCATTGTTAAGAGGGGGAAACTTAAAATTTTACTCAAAATTTCATTTTCCCTCCATTTCCCATTCACCCTCATTTTAAGAATATTACATCTTAAAAAAAAAACCCTCAACAATCCCCCACATGAATGGGGAATGGCTATATCACGGAAGTATGCATGAAAAAACTGTGTGATTTACAAGCAAGGATTAATTGCATCTGGATAAGTAGGTTTCCCTTTGAACTTTCCGTAGTAAACTTATGTCGGATATACTCGGTCAATCGGTAGATTTGATATCTTTGAACCGTCGATCTTTGGTGTATACCTAGACAACCATAAGTCACACAATCAACCCTTAACCGTCTTTGGTTCTCATTGTTGTGTTCGTTTCAGCCATGAACACCGCCTGGTTTCATAAGTGCGTAGAGAACTGGCCTTACAAAGTTCTCCTTGAAGCGGCTCACACTTCACACTTAAATAGGTGATTCCTAAACGTGTCATCCTGTAGATACACTATTTGATATACCCCGTATCAAATTTAGAAATCATTAAAAAGCCTTAATGCTTTATCCTTGGTACTGAACATTGTCTCATCACGAGAATGGACTAAAATTTTATTTGACAATGTTGAACCGTCATTAATGACTTTGTTTGATCTCTTTGAACCTAGATCTTGGGATCTCCAGTCTTCTAGGTAGAGTTACCGCCACAATGACTTGTTCTCGGCCATAGCCCCATTCCCCTTGATGATTTCTCAACTACCTCTCTAGTTAGGCCTTTTGTAAGTGGATCCGACACATTATCACTTGACTTTACATAGTCAATTGTGATAATTCCTCTAGAGAGTAATTGCCTAACGGTTTTATGTCTTCGTCGTATATGACGAGATTTACCGTTATACATGACGCTCCCAGCCCTTCCAATTGCCGCTTGACTATCACAATGTATGCATATTGGTGCCAACGGTTTGGGCCAAAATGGAATGTCTTCCAAGAAATTCCGGAGCCATTCAGCTTCTTCACCGGCTTTATCTAAGGCTATGAATTCAGCCTCCATTGTAGAGCGGGCAATACATGTTTGTTTGGACGACTTCCAAGATACCGCTCCTCCACCAATAGTGAATACATATCCACTCGTGGACTTAGAATCAGTTGAACCGGTGATCCAATTTGCATCACAGTATCCCTCAATCACCGCAGGGAAATTACTGTAGTGCAATTCAAAGTTCTGGGTATGTTCTAAATATCCCAAAACTCGTTTCATTGCCATCCAATGAGATTGGCCTGGATTGCTCGTATATCGACTCAGTTTACTTATAGCACAAGCTATGTCTGGTCGTGTACAATTCATGATATACATTAAGCATCCCAATACACGAGCATAATCCAATTGTGATATGCTTTGGCCTTTGTTCTTTGCTAATGCAAGATTCACGTCAATTGGAGTCTTTGCAACTTTAAAGCCCAAGTGCTTGAATTTTTCAAGTACTGTCTTAATATAATGAGATTGTGACAATGCCAGACCTTGAGGAGTCTTATTGATCTTAATTCCCAGAATTAAATCAGCAACTCCCAAGTCTTTCATATCAAACTTGCTATTGAGCATACGCTTAGTAGCATTTATGTTGGCAATGTCATTACTCATTATCAACATATCATCCACATATAGGCAAACAATGACTATGTGATTTGGAACATTTTTAATGTACACGCATTTATCACATTCATTTATCTTAAAACCATTTGACAACATTGTTTGGTCAAATTTCGCATGCCATTGTTTGGGTGCTTGTTTTAGTCCGTAAAGAGACTTAACAAGTCTACATACCTTCTTTTCTTTACCTGGAACCACAAACCCTTCAGGTTGTTCCATGTAAATTTCTTCCTCCAACTCTCCATTTAAGAAGGCCGTCTTAACATCCATTTGATGAATTTCAAGACCATACACTGCAGCTAATGCTACTAACATCCGTATGGACGTAATTCTTGTAACTGGAGAGTATGTATCAAAGTAGTCTAGACCTTCTCGTTGTCTATACCCTTTGACTACGAGCCTTGCCTTGAATTTATCAATAGTGCCATCATCTTTGATTTTTCTCTTAAAAATCCATTTAGAACCCAAAGGTTTATTTCCAGGAGGAAGATCAACCAATTCCCATGTATGGTTGTTCAATATGGATTCTATTTCACTATTGACTGCCTCTTTCCAAAACAATGATTCCGAAGAAGTCATAGCTTCTTTAAATGTTTGAGGCTCATTCTCCAATAAGAAAGTCACAAAATCTGGTCCAAATGAAGTAGACGTTCTTTGACGTTTACTACGTCTTGGATTCTCCTGATTACATGTACTTTCTTTTGTTTCTTCCCGAGGTCGTTTAGATCCTTCACCAAACGACTCACATTCCTTTTTATACGGATATATATTTTCAAAAAACTCAGCATTATCTGATTCTATAACCGTATTATTATGAATGTCGGGATTTTCTGATTTATGAACCAGAAATCGATATGCTTTACTATTTGTCGCATATCCTATGAAAACACAATCAACGGTTTTCGGTCCTATCTTTACCCTTTTGGGTTTAGGAACTTGCACTTTTGCCAAACACCCCCACACTTTAAAATAATTCAAGTTGGGCTTCCTTCCTTTCCATTGTTCATAAGGAATGGATTGTGTTTTGCTATGGGGCACTCGATTTAATATTCGATTAGCCGTAAGAATGGCTTCCCCCCACAAGTTCTGTGGCAAACCAGAACTTATCAACAACGCATTCATCATCTCCTTTAATGTGCGATTCTTTCTTTCCGCAATCCCATTAGATTGGGGCGTGTAAGGGGCTGTTGTTTGATGAATAATTCCATATTCTAAACATATTTCTTCAAAAGGAGATTCATATTCACCACCCCTATCACTTCTTATCATTTTTACTTTCTTGTTAAGTTGCGTTTCAACTTCATTTTTGTATTGCCTGAATGCGTCTATTGCTTCATCTTTACTATTCAGTAAGTAAACATAGCAATATCGAGTACCATCGTCAATAAAAGTTATGAAATACTTCTTTCCACCGCGAGATGGTATTGACTTCATGTCACAAATATCTGTGTGAATTAAGTCTAAAGGATTTGAATTCCTTTCAACTGACTTATAAGGATGTTTAACATACTTAGATTCCACACATGTTTGACATTTTGATTTTTCGCATTCAAACTTGGGCAGTACTTCCAAGTTAATCATTTTCCGCAAGGTTTTATAATTGACATGACCCAAACGTACATGCCATAAATCATTTGACTCAAGTAAGTAAGAAGAAGCTGAAATATTATTATTATTTTCAACAACCATTACATTTAGATTGAAAAGGCCCTCGGTGAGGTAACCTTTTCCCACAAATATTCCATTCTTACTAATTACAACCTTGTTGGATACAAAAACGCACTTAAAACCGTGCTTAACAAGAAGTCCAGTAGAGACTAAATTCTTTCTCATTTCGGGAACATGAAGGACATTGTTCAAAGTCATGACCTTGCCAGAAGTCATTTTTAGAAATACCTTCCCATATCCTTCAACTTTTGCTGTTGAAGCATTTCCCATATAAACTGTCTCTCCGGGTTCAGCAAGAGCATAGGTAGCAAAAGCCTCTCTAACTGCACAAACATGGCGAGTGGCTCCTGAATCAAACCACCACAGTTTAGGATTTCCCACCAAGTTACATTCAGAGAGCATGGCACACAAGTTATCAACATCATCATGGTTTACTACCATGTTTGCTTGACCCCTTTTCTTGTCTTTCTTCGGAGCACGACACTCCGTAGATTTGTGTCCGGTTTTCCCACAGTTGTAGCAGTTTCCACTGAACCGCTTCTTGCTTGGGTTGTATTTCGGACCAGAAGCCTTCTTCCTCTTTTTGTTAGCTTCAACAATATTTGCTCCCATTATTGTTGAATTTCCACGGCCTCTCCTTTCAGCAGCTTTATTGTCCTCTTCGATTCTCAACCGAACAATGAGATCTTCAAGGGACATTTCCTTTCGTTTGTGTTTCAAATAATTTTTGAAGTCCTTCCACAACGGAGGCAACTTCTCAATCATTGCTGCTACTTGGAATGCTTCGTTGATTACAAGACCTTCAGCAAGTAGATCATGAATAATCACTTGCAATTCCTGGACTTGAGTAATAACAGACTTGCTATCTATCATTTTGTAGTCCAGAAATTTTGCGGCAACGAATTTCTTCATCCCGGCATCTTCAGTCTTATATTTCTTTTCAAGCGCATTCCACAATTCTTTGGATGTCTCCATGCTACTGTATACATTATACAGATTATCATCCAGTCCGCTAAGAATATAATTCTTGCATAAAAAATCAGAATGCTTCCACGCTTCAATCACGAGAAAGCGTTCATTATCTGGAGTTTTATCCGGCAGATCAGGAACATCTTCCTTGATGAACTTCTGTAGACATAACGTAGTTAAGTAGAAGAACATCTTCTGCTGCCAGCGTTTGAAATCAATCCCGGAAAATTTTCCGGGTTTTTCTGCCGGTGCCAACGCCGGTGTTCGGCTTGTCGTTGCGTTGGCAGTCGCCATCGGAACAGCTTGGTTTTCGTTTTCAGTCATCATCTTTTCTGTAAAAGAATGACACAAACAAACGTTTAATACACGTTTTCAAACTGGAGTAAAAATCACGTAGATTTTAATATCCAACAAAACGCCACGAAGGCTTAACTCTCCAAAACGGGAGTACACAAACCACAAAGGTTTTAGTTTGCAGAATAATAAGAATAACACAAGTACAGAAATAAATATTAAATTCCTTAAGATTGTTATTCCCGGTCAATATTGCTGTATTTGTAAATATTAATTCTGCAAAATATAAGTTAACGTAATGAAACAATAATAATAAATTCGAGCCCACTGAATTCACAGTGTTTCCTTAAGGAATTTAATCCCCTCCTAGTACCCAAGGTAATGGATTATTTCCTCCCAGGATAGAACGAATAACACACTGGTGTAGCGGTACTTCAAACCCCAGTGTTTCGGCGAACACAAAGTTCGGTAGCAAATCACACTTACAGTTGCTTTGTTTGAAGTTAAAAAACAATGCAGAACGAAGGAGTATATACTCAGAAAAACGTATGGAAGTTCTGAGAGGAAGGAGTGCAATGTATAGCCAATTTGTTGAGCGAATTGTATGTTGAGTTGAGTATCTTTCTTCAACATTTGCTGCTCATATATATAGCAGCCAAGAAGGAGTGCAAGACCAAACGTCCACCCTTCATGGTGGAGCAAGCATTACATGTTTGTGGAGCAAGCACTTCATGTTTGTGGAGCAAGCACTTCATGGTGGGAAGACCATTATCCGGCTGCCAAATTATCAATACACGGATTGGAAAATATCCGTTTACAAATACGGATAATCTTACGTTAATATTTACTATTAACAAATAAATTTGGTCCAAAAAATTAATCAATCAATCGATCATTTGACCAAATCCAAATCCAAATCCAAATCCGAATCCGAATCCGAATCCGAATCCGAAGCCGAAGCCGAAGCCGTAGCCGTAGCCGAAGCCGAGCCGAGCGAGCGACGACGACGACGGCGCGAGGCTTGCTTTCTTCTTAACTCTTTAAGAGCTACAAGAAGAGCAATTATATATATACCCACCAAAAATGTCTTCCACTTCCAATATGGGACAATGTCTCATTGTTAAGAGGGGGAAACTTAAAATTTTACTCAAAATTTCATTTTCCCTCCATTTCCCATTCATCCTCATTTTAAGAATATTACATCTTAAAAATAAAACCTCAACAGTAAATTCAATACCTTAGGCATATTATTATTATTATTATTATTATCTGGTGAAACGTTGAGTGGATTAAAAACCTGCAATTTTCCATCAGCAGTTTTTGTCACCTTGACCAACCAGCAGCCTCTACAATCAAGCGAAGTATCACGATCAGGAGGTAATTGGAAAAGATAAACGGTGTTTTCGATAAGATAAAATCCAGGGAACGTATTCGGGTGATAATCGAGTGGAAAGGGTAATTGAAGAGATAAATCAGGAGAGTTGCTTTTGAAAGGAGGAATTGAGGAACGCCATGTTTTGCAGACTGCACGAAAGTGAAGGACGTCGAAAGGGTTGTCGACGAGACATTTTCCGATCCTCTCCACAAGTTCTTCCGGTAGATCGGACCAAGAGATCACACTTCCTCTGCGCAATCCCATACTCTGTTGCTACACCCTCTGTTTCAATTTAAATGAATTTATTTCTTTTTTGGCACAACTTTTTACTCTGTGCCAAAAAGAATTATCCCTTTCTTTATTTGGAAACAACTTATCTTTATTCAATGATTTATAGCCATACAAAATATATATACCTTATTTTACACCACAAGTTTAAAAGTCTTCTCTCTTTTCTTGAATTTCGTGTCCAGTCAAATGAGTTCACATAAATTGAAACGGATGGACTATAATTTTTCCGAAGAATGCGTTAGTAACGTTTAATATTACCTTTTTCCTTTTTTTTTATTAAAAAAGAAATTTATATAGATTTAGTGTGGAGCATAAATTTATGTAAAAATATAATAAAATTATAATAAATAGTAGATATGAATCGTTAATTTTGAAAAATACAATGATTCAAATGTAAAAAAAATTAAAATTGAACATTAAGGTTTAAATCTTGAATTTTTCTGTGCGACATATAGTGCGGAAGACTCTCATTCGGGTCACTATACTTTAAACTTTAGCGGTAAGATCTTTGACATTATTTTGGTATGCAATTGCACACAATTGTTCACTATTGAACTTGATTTATTAGACTTCTCCTAAACATGGTGAATATAATTAATATTTCATTAGTCACTACACAGAAGAAAAAAGAAAAAAGAACAAAAGTACACAATATTGATCGAGTATGAGTGTCTCATGGCTCACTGTTGAATCTTTGGATAGCCCAGTGCATAAAGTATTTGTATTCGCGCAAAGTTCGAGGAAGGGACGTACTCCAAGCGATATGATAATATAGACAATCTAACCTAATGCAAGCATTAGTGATTGTTTCCACGACTCGAACCCATAACCTATAGGTCATCATTGTTGAATCACCTAGCTTTAACAACTTAGATGTATTGATTCCAACATGGATTCTTTTATTAGTAATCCTTCTTCCTCCTTAATTTATTCTTGTCTTTAATTTACGCCAAGCGGACGAGATATAATTACTCAAAAAGGTTGTCCCATTTCAGAACTATCTATACTAACTCTTATTCATTGAAACTTACACTTTCATTTTTTAGTCAATCAAGAATGACATGATCATTGTTAGACCGATTCAACCCCCTTAATATATAAAGAGGTTCAATATACCAGTATTTCAACTTCTAATGATTATTTCAACTACTCAAATGGCTAAGAGGCTTGTTAATTCACGTAAAACCCATATTTGGGCCTTGCTCAATTTTCACTAATGCATCAGTAGGTTAGCTAGGACATTATGCATGTGCCACAAAAGTAACTTAGAAGTAATGTGGAACATCATATTCTTTAACTTATCTGGTTTATTTTGAAACAACTAATTAACTGTATCCATATGCCAACCAACACCCTGGCACTAATTAATTACTCCCTTTGTTTTAATTTTTTTTAGTTTGACTCGGCACGAAATTTAAAAAAAAAAAAATAAACTTTTACAATTGTAACTTTCAGCATGTCATAATGTTTGTATAGCTACACAAACATTAAAATATGCCGTACGTAATAAATAATGCAAAAACTATAGCTATAAAAACTTCTCATTAAGAATAGAGAAAAGGATCAAATGTATCCCGCTACTTCAAATATTCCTTCAATTTAACCACTGTTAGACTTGTCATCTTAAACATATTATAACGTTTGTGTAGCTATAAAAACTTATTATTAAAGAAATATAAAAATGTATTAGTATTTCTTAGACGGATTAATTATGAGAAGTGTCAGACTAAGTAACATGGAAGAAGTACTATAAAGCTAGAAGCCTTTGGAATAATTGCTTGAAGCTAAATATATACTCCAATATGCAATTTCTTACCTTTTTATCCCTTTTACATTGATATAAAGGGAACTGTACCCTGTCTCACATAAGAAAAGAGATAGTAGTATGGCCGTATGGGATAAATTTCTTCCATTCTCTCCCCAAGTGAGGTGTCTTTTCAAATAAAAACACTCATCTTTATGTGAAGTTCGCCAGAGAAATCACCCCATGTGCTAGTAATTAAGATAATACTTTGACACCTTCGTTTGTGCATAGTATAAAAGGGAGTAGCTAGCATTTTATTGAATTAGTTAAATTTGTATATTTATAGTATATAGGAACCAATTTTGCACTTTATTGAATCACATATTCGTACGTGATGCAAAAGAATCCTTTCGTCTGTGCACAAGCAAACAACTCATTGTATTAAGCTCTCGATATATACGAAATTCAGAAAAAGGTCAATGTACATATGTATATTTTATGCCGTGTTAATTATCTTACATTTCTACAAGTGCCTATTGTCTTTGTACAAGAATTTACCTAAAATTTGCTTTCTTACTTTGAGTTTCCATTTCAGATTATTTTCATTTTTTTGCTAGAACGACGAAATTTATATTAATAATTAAGTAGTAGCATTACATATAGGTGGTGCCTCAGTAGGGGCACCCAAAACACCTGAGCCAGGAGGCCTGCTAGTCATATTACAAAAACTATTAATGTTCCCAAGCTCGGTTAGTTTATTTAGTACATTGGTAGATACTAGTCTAGTAGTAGTTGTACCAGCTTTGTCTTCCTGAAGCAATTTCCAACAAACATTTGGTGGGTGGAGCATTGTTGATAAGGGGGTATTGCTTGGTTGCTTGGACACCCTTCCTTTGCCAAAAAGTGCGCGAGTTTGTTCCCCTCACGAAAATTGTGTCGGATCATTTGATTCTTCAGCTCCTTCAGTAACAACCTGCACTCATTAACAAAGTTAGAGTATAGAGAACAGTTATTATAGAAAAGCAATTGGGGTATTTCAGTAGCATCAGTTTTGATTTCTAAGTTGTTGAAATTATGGTTTTTTGCTAGGAAAAGTCCATTTTTTAGCGCAAGGAGTTCCATGTATACGAGGGTGTAGCCATAAGCGGGCATTTTATAGCCCAGGATCCAATTTTCGGATTTATCCCGAAATATTTTACCAATCCCTCCTTTGTTATAGCTGCTTTTGAACGTCCCATCAATGTTGACTTTTAGGTTTGTTGACAGTGGGGGCTCCATTTTACAGTTGTTAGAGAGGTGTTGGTGTTATTGGTAGGAGACATAGTGGTGTATTTGTATTCCATACAACGCATAGACACAAAGTTTAGGGCAAGAAGCTTACAGATGTTGTTGAAATGGTTATTGTTTCTATTTAACCAAAGGTGCCAAATGGAAAACTGAAAGAATTTGTTCCAAGTGATGTTTAGGTGGTCCACATTAATGGTCCAATCTTTAAGCTTCATAAGCAGTGGTCAGAGTTGTAGTCCGGAATTTAGTTTTGTGGGCTTACTTCCTCCCAAAAGACCTTGTCTATTGAGCATTCGAAGAGAATGTGAGTTAATGACTCGTTAGATCCTTTACATATTATGCAGATAGAGTCAATATTTAATTCTATATGATGTAGATATGCATTTGTGGGAAGTCGGTTATGAGAGTATTACCATAAGAAATTTTTTATTTTGTTAAGAGTATTTAACTTTCAGATCCAGTAGAATCTTTTTTATGGGTATTACCAAAAGTAACTTTAGCCCATTCGGAAGCTTGAAGCTGGAAGGTATTAGTAGCTTCCATTAAGGGTTTTCTATGCCAGCTATTTTTTATTAAATTTTCAAAGTTATGGTGGTGGCACCATAAGGTTTCAAGCTTGAAGGGTTTGTTACCCGGTCGAGGGATCCTACTGGTAACATTTAGAAGTAAGGGTGTGTGTTTAGAATGAGTTTTAGGTAAGTGGGCTATAGAGGCGTCAAGATATTGTTCTACCCATTGGTCATTAGCTAAAAATTAGTCAAGTCTCTCTAGAATTAATCCATTAGTTCTAACCCTACAGTTCGTCTAAGTATACTTAGCCCCTTTATATCCAAGATCCATTAGTTGGCATTGGTTGACACAAGACCAAAAGTTAGAAATACAGTTAGTGATGATAGGTCTATCACCCCACTTATCATCCTGGGACATGACCTCATTAAAGTCACCCCCAGTAGCCATGGTCCGGAATAGTTGAAAGCAATGGACCGGAGGTTATCCCAAAGGTTTTTACGAATATTAATAGTAATGCTAGCGTAAATAATACTAAGTAACCAAGGGGGTGATCAGGGTGTACCTGAAGCATGGCGTGGATTTCCTGGTGTGCTTTGCTAATAAGGTTAACAGTGACAAGGTTCCCGAACCAAAGAATGACGATGCCTCTAGCAAGTCCAATAGCAGGGACTTCAAACATGTCAGTGAAGTGAAAAGTATCTCTAATCTCTGCATGGTTAGTTATTTTTGTTTCCAGTAGGGCAACCATGCAAGTGTTGTGCGTGTGGAGGAGTTCTCAAAAATTTTACCTAAAATTATCGTTATTAGCCCCTACCAATCTAGCTTCCTAAAAGGAAGATGCACTAGTGACAATGTCATCATCATTCAGGAAATCATGAACCATTTCCAAAAACTGAAAGGACAACGGGGTAAACTTCTCTTAAAAATTAACCTCGAGAAAGCTTTTGATAGACTAAAATGGTCCTTTATCTATCGAGCCCTTCACTTTTTCAAGTTTTCACCGCGTATGACCAAGCTCATGATGAGTTGTGTCAGTACTACCAAGATTGCAATCCTAGTAAATGGCTCTAGGACGGAGTTTTTTAACCCAACAAGAGGCATTAGACAAGGAGATCCAATGTCCCCTTACCTCTTCACACTATGTATGGAACTCCTCTTCAAACACATTTGCCACCAGGTCAACATTGGCCAATGGGACCCCATTCAACTTAGTCAATCAGGGCCACCCCTCTCTCATCTCTTTTACGCAGATGACCTCACCCTAGCAGCAAATGCCAATGTTAAAAGTTAACAACTCAGACCATAAATCATTGCCAGTCATTCTTTAGCCAACTTTCGGGTCAAAAAATAAACTCTAGAAAATCCAAAATAATCTTCTCTAAAAACTGTGACTCTTATACTCGAAACCGTCTTGATAATATTCTCAATATCA